GCCGCGTCTCGGGTGGGTGTGCGGCCGCCGCCATCTTCCAGCCCCTCCCCCGCGGCGGGTGCTACCACCCCGCGCTCGGTCGCCGTCCTTCCTCTTGGGCGAACTCGTAAATCGGGGCGATCCCGAGCAGGCTCCGGCGCCGGCCCTCGCCCGGTGCGGTGTGGGTCGCTCGCTCCCCGGCTCGGGAAGTTCTACTCTTGTTTGCTCGCAGTCCAGCCAGCCGGGATTTTTGCCGAGGGTGGGAGGCGTGAAGAGTAGCAGCCAGACAGCGGTGGAGAGGCGGTGTAACTTCAGCACCAGGGAACTGTCCAGACCGAGTTTCCCTCGGCTTTGGGAGTCCTTGTCACTTTGCAGTGTAGCTGAGATTTGTGCCTACAGGTTTGCTTTTAAATGTTTTATGATTTTGGGTGTCTCGGTTACTCCGGGAAAGTCACTGTCTAGATGTGTAACCTTTTGGTGTTTATCCAAGTCATTTTTTTTTCCATTTTTTTTTTTTGCTTGAAACGAGTTACTCACTATAAAAAATTAACCTGTATGTGCCTAAAGAGGGACAGTTCTTTTTGCAAGTCACCAAATACACTTTCCCATAATCTCTGTAGAAGCATACAATTAAAAGTGTAGACTTCCTCTGTGAAAAGAAATAACATTCTGACCTCCAGCCACCTAGTTTGAAAACAGGTTGTTGAATTCAGTATTCTTTCACGTATGAAAACACACTTTGTCTATTGTACATGTGTTCATATTTAATTGAAATATATTTTGCATAGCCTATGGTAACAAAATTTATATCAAATAGCTATGTATCTTAGGAAAATATGCAATTTCTCACAAAATAATGAGGGAAAAAGAGAGCAAATGTAGTCCTGATATATTAACAGAAATTGAGAATTCTTCTTCAAAACTAACTTTCAGATTTGAATAATTACTATGGAATTTGACTTATCAATGGACATAAGATATGAACAAAAAGTTAAGTAATTTAATAAGCTTAAACTACGAAATAATATAGATATTTTTAAAAAGCTCTTTGAACATACTCAACTTTAGGGATACAAATAGTGCTAAACTTTTGATCATTATAATTTTATATTCAGATATATGAATTTATATTTCTTAATATAGTTGTTAAATATTAGTGTAGCCAAAATGATGCTCAAATAAAATATGGCTTTATTTCTTTGACCCACATATTTAAATGGAAATGGGTTTTTATTTATAGTAGATTAAATCATAGTGTTTATTGGCTAGTTAATTTCATATAGTTCTATATTTACTGCTTCAATATATGGACATTTAGTAGAATACTCGATTGCTGAATTAAAAATTGCTCAAAATGAACATTGTATTTTATTGGATAGATGTTATTAAAGGATTTTTCAGGTCAACTATATGTGTGTACACCTCCAAGTAAACCTACATACTTTGCAAATACATATGTTTGTCCGTTTATTTCACATTATTTAGGTAGACACATTCTCTAAACATACCCATATATGTGAAATCACATCAATGAAAAATATAGATTCAGATTTAAGTACTTACTTACATAGTTTTAAATGTTCTTTAAGATACTTTTGAAATGAGATTAGACAAGGAAACTGAGAGTAAACTTTATAATAAATTTACAGTAACAAAAGGCAAATCATTTTGAAGAATTGGACCGTTTATTAAATAATATGTTCCTGGTCTTGGGTGTTGGATAACAGTGTGCTCTGTAGGAAAAAAATAGTACTGATAGTTGTGAGTGACTACTCTTTGCCTTGAAAGTTTCGGGCTGTTACCCAGCTCATGGGGACACAGTCTTTTATAACTTGGTAGTGCTATCATTTATTTGCATGCTAGCATCTTTTCTGAGAGAAGGCCACAGGCACAGAGAAATAAACCAAAATTCAAATTTATATCTAATACTTTAAAACTGTTACGTTAAAAATAAATTTGATGTGTGAAGCAATTGAAAACTGGATAAAAATACTTTGTGTGATCTGTGAGTTTCAGTATTCATAATAAGTATTATGCAAAGTAAGATGTTTGTATCCAAGGGCATCACAAGATGATGTGCTGGAATGCAAGAAGAGCATACTAAAACTTATAGTCCTGTCTTTGAAAAAAAATAGACTATGCCCCATTAGTACTTAGTATAGATTAACTAATACTAGGATGCATATAATTTATGAATAAATGCATACATTAAAAGTTTATGCCTGAGATGTTTTCAATAAGAAAGATGAGCCATCAAAACAGGTTGAGGCCACTACAGTAAATTCTCTTTTTAGGAGCCTGAATAATTAAAAATGATTCATACTTCATTATTAGTGATTCCTTCAAGGCCCAGCTCTGCATACACATACTGAGGAAGCCTTCTGTCAATCAAACAATGCTGTCTTACACGTGAGTGAGCTACTGTAATTTTCAAAGCATTTTTACATCTCACTAGCCCCCGGTTAATTACTAAACCAAAACCAAGCAAAAACCCTTACGCAGATCCCTGCGGCAGTATCAGTTTTGAGTCTTGAGAAGTCACTGTTGTGTTATTTTGCTCTGTAGCATCCTAGTGCCCAGTAGTGCCTGGTAAGAAACGCTGAGCAGAACTGCAGTGCAGTTGGTTCATTCATTCTGTGGGAAAACGAGGAATCAGTTTTTGAAAGAAAAATTGTTTAATGACTATTGTGCTTCTATTGTCTTTTTTTTTTCTTTTTTCTTTTTTTTGGTTTTTCGAGACAGGGTTTCTCTGTGTAGCTTTGCACCTTTCCTGGGACTCACTTGGTAGTCCAGGCTGGTCTCGAACTCACAGAGATCCGCCTGGCTCTGCCTCCCGAGTGCTGGGATTAAAGGCGTGCGTGCGCCACCGCCGCCCGGCTCTATTGTCTTTTTTGTTTTTGTTTTCATGTGATTTTAATTTTTTTTTGTAAAAAGTATCAAGAAGTCAAAGCCACTAAAATCAAATAGAAAGGCATCCAGTAAATATGTATTGGGATTTGTTATACACCTAACATAGTCTTTTATACAAAGCGTTTTGAACACAGAAATGATTGTCTCCTTCCTATCCTTTCCTGCTACTTTTTCTATCCTGCCCCCTCCCCCCACCGTCCCCACTGGATAGTGTCTTTCTGTAACCCAGGTTGGCCTTAAACTCACAATCCGTCCGCCTCTGCCTTCCCAATCCCAAGTGCTAGGACTATAGGCATTTTTTTTTTTTTATGCCACATCTAGCTATTTATGTTTTTCAGAAGGTGTGTATTATATTATGTCTTCATATTCAGCTTTGATTTTCTATTAATGTTAAAAGGGTAACTTGCCCCCCGAATAACCAGAATAAAGCACATTCTTGATAGATTAAATTAACAAGTACACATTGTGTGCATGTATGAGTAGTTCTAAATGTTTTATTGTATTTAGTTTATTTATTTATATTTGGGACAGATTGTCGCTTTGTCATTCTGGCTTGTTTGGAACTCACTCTGTAGACCAGGCTGGCCTCAAACTCACAGAGATCCACCTGTCTCTGCCACCCAAGTGCTATGATTAAAGGTGTGGGCCACCATGCCTGGCTAGATTTTTTATTTTATTGGGACATAGTCTCTCTACATAGCCCTAGCTGTCCTGGAACTGACCATGTAGACCGGGACAGCCACAAACTCACACAGATCTGCCTGCCCCTGCCTCTGCCTCTTGAGGGCTGGTATCATAGGCACGTGTGCCACCACACCCAATTTTAATTTTTTAGTGTTGCAATTTTATAATGAGTTTCTAAAGTTAATTTATAAAGTTAAGTTATATTATTGAATAGATAATATATAGTTTTGCTACAAAATATCTTACTTACCTGTTTATTACCCATGTACAATTATTGTTACCAGAATATTTGTTCTCTGCACAATAAAATCTAGGCGCCAAGAGATGTATGTGTATATAAGCATGTGTATTTATATGTGTGTGTGCACGTGCACACAATACACACACACATATGCATGTTTTTTTCTTGTGTATGTGTTGTTGTTTGTTTTTCAAGACAGGGTTTCCCTGTGTATCCCTGGCTGTCCTGAAACTCACTACCAGGTTGGTCTTGAACTCACAGAGATCCTCCTGCCTCTGCCTCCCCAGTGCTGGGATTAAAGGCACATGTCACCACCACCCATATATGCATGCTTGTATGCAAACATAAAAGTATAAGTATGTCCTGTATTTTGCTTTTTAGGAAATAATTTCTACATTCAGTTCAGTGCCAGTATCTGTCCCATTTTCTGACTATTTCCCTAACTAATGCCATACTTCTAGGTATTTAAGTTGTTTCTGGTTTGCCACTAGACACAGTACTTTGATACATTGTTTTTATTGTATCAGACTGTATCTCTGGG